GTATGAATTTATGTCGCATTTGCTTTTATTTCAATTATTGTATTGTAAGTCATACATTATCTTTTAGTTTAATTAAATTGATATGTTCTTTATATATGGTTGGTTATGATTTCTTAACTTCTCAATGTCTTTATATATGTTTTTTATATATTCGCTTTTATGATACAGCTAAGCTATAATGTGGAGGAGTAGATTGAAAGGAATACATATCAGAGATATTAATTCAGAACCATCTATAGCCCCAGTTGATCTTGGCTATGGACTAAATCTTTTAAAAGGGAATGTACGTACTGTCGATTCTAACTCAGTCGCTTCTAACTCTTCAACTGATATTGAATCTGACAATACGAGAGTTGCAAGTTTAGATAGTATCCTATCAATTGATTCTGCTTTTAATTTGAGTGTAGGTATGATAAAGTCCATATTTAGATTTTGATTATAATGACTAAAGTATTGGTAATTTACAAATTGATTTTTTTTTTGTAGTTGATAACAATGGTTAACAGAGGATCAGAGGCCGAACAACTTTATAGGAATTGTTTGCACTACCTCCGAATAAGCATATTGTAGTGTTTGCAAACTTTGATAGGCAACCAATTGGTGAAGAGTCTCAACTGTTGGTTGGATTTCTAGGCATGATTGCCTGTAATGGAATGAAATTGCCTATTCATTATGAAATATGGCATAAAGTTCTAGCTAAAGTTAATGCCGATGCTTTAAATTTTATTGAGGTATTAGTATAATTAATTACATATAAAAAATTAATTATTTTAAATTTGGTTTATGATTAAAACTTTTCTTTTTATATTATTATAGTCAAGATTTGTAATTAAAATACTAACTTCATTTGTGCTTAACTCATTGGGAAAGAAATGGAAAGACTATAAGCATAATTTAAAGAAAAAATATTTCGATTGAAATACTACTATAAAGGCCACAATGGAAAATGTACCCCATAATGTGATTAGGTGGCAATATGAACAATTAGTTGGATTTTGGTTCTTAAGAAAAGGAGAGGTATTAATTTATAACTTTTAATATTAGTTTTAATAATAAAGGTATTTTATGATTTAAGTTGGTAATATTTGTATTTCTACCATATACACAATTATTTTTTTTGATAAAAAAGAGAACAAATTGGGATTGGTAGTAGAAAGCAACAGAAATATAGTCATACAAGTGGATCAAAAAGTTTTGCAAGAAAGCAAAAAAAAAAATAGTAAGTTTATGATATTAAACTTATTCGAATGAATGAACTTGGTTTCCATTTTTGATATATGTGTTGTAATTTGCAATTTATGTCTGTTTACAACTTTTTGTGCCATTACAAGGTAATAATGCAAATTTACAGTTATTTTTTTGTTTTAATAATTTTGATAGTTTCAATACATGATATTAAACTTATCCAAATTATTGAACTTAGTTTTCTTAGTTGATATGTATGAAAAAGTTATTGTTTACATCTATTTAGGACATTTTGTGCCATTAATAAATAAAAATACAAATTTGGACCAGTTGTTCTATTGTAAGAGTTTGGATAGCTCCAACATATGATATTAAACTTATCCAAATGATTGAACTTATTTTTCACAGTTAATATGCATGAAAAAGTTATTGTTTATGTATGTTTAAGACTTTTTGTGCTGTTAAGAGGCAAACATGCAAATTTGTTGTTATTGTTCTATTTTAACAATTTGCATAACTTCAATACATGATAATTGAAATAATTGACCTTGGTTTTCACAATTGATATGTGTGAAAAAGCTAACGTTTACGTCTATTTTGGATATTTTATGCTGTTAAAAGGCAAAATACAAATTTGATAATGTTGTTCTATTTTAACAGTTTGGATAGCTTCAATACATGATATTAAATTTGATCGAATGATTGAACTTGGTTTCTAGAGTTGATATATGTGAAAAAGTTGTTGTTAACATTTATTTAGGACTATTTTTGCCGTTAAAAGGAAAAAATACAAATTTGCCACTATTAATCTATTTCAACAGTTTGGATGGCTTCAATACATGATATTAAACTTTTTCGAATGATTGAACTTGGTTTCCATGATTGATATTTGTGAAAGGCCCAAATGCTTTTATTGTTTACATTTGTTTAAGACTTTTGTGCTGTTAAAGGGGAAAAAACATTGAACTTGATTGATAGACTTGATATGCATAAATAAGTTACAATTGCTATGTATTTAACAATAACATATGTTTTTATATAGGAGATTGAGATGGGTAAAAAAATTGAACATGTGAAACTTTTTCGATTAACCCACACAAAAAAATATGGATCTTACTTGAATGTCAAAACATAAGAAATTGTGATAATTTGTTACATATGTTTTATATAGAAAGTAAATATTTACTATTTTAAACATATTATGAATTAATCATTAAATTTGATAGTTTTATCTGATTAATTTACAGGAGAAAGCGAAAGAGAAAATGGTTGTTGCGATTAAAGTAACATTTGATAGTTTTGTCAACATGTAAGAATTGAAAATTTGGATTTTCACAGAAGTTGCTAGAAAAGAAAGACATGGACAGGTTCGAGGCCCTAATTGGGTCCAATACCATCTAGCTACTATGGACGTAGCTCTCAACAATTTACATTCTTAGCAAGTCAATCTTCGCAAGGCATTTCCATATTGAGAAAGGAGTTGCAAACTATGCAACAACATTTTCAGCAAATGAAAGTAAAAAGAGAACATGAGCGTGCTAAAATTAAAGAAGAACGTGCTAAAATAAACTAAGAGCATGCAAAATTTCAGCAGTTGCATGATTGATTTGATACTTTTATGAATTTTGTGCAACAATAATTTTCAAGAACTAATCTAGGTGGTCCACCAACTTAGGTATTATATTAAGTAACTGTTTATATTTTTAATATAAAAAATAGCTTATTATTAAGTGTTAAAAACTTATATGATATTATTTAGTAGGTTCTTGAGCACACTAGTGACCAAGGTGAAAAATTCCTTTATCAAATGGTAGTATTCCATATCTTTGCGGTCATTAATTTCATACATTTTAAATTTTTTGGTTAATGTACTAGAATAATTTGAATGTCATTGTATGTATTGTTAAACTTTGTCTTACATGATTATTTGAACAAATTATGTATTTATAATATTCAGTTTCTGAATTTAAGTTTGTTTTTATTTTTTTTAACATTTTTATTTAATGATAATATTAAATATAAAAAGAAATTTAAAAAAAAAATTAAATTTCTTAATTTTGCGATGTTTGTGTTTAAAAATGCCGCTAAATTCAAAATTTAGTGGTGGTTATAGCATAAAACATTACTAAATTTAGGGGCATTTGTAGCATAAAATCTTACTAAATTTAGGGGTGTTTTCCTACACAAATGCTGCTAAATTAACAGTGTTTTTATTTTACAAATGCCCTTAATTTAACAGTGTTTTCTAATATAAACGTTACTAATTTAACGGTGATTGTCCTTACGAACACTGCTAAATAGAGCGGTATTTTATGATACAAACATCTCTAAATTAACAACGTTTTTTTTTTTATATAAATGCCACTAAATTAGTGGTGATTGTGCTTACAAACGCTGCTAAATTAGCAGCGTTTCGTATAAAATGCTGCTATTTTTCTTGACATGGGTATAACCGACGCTCTCAGTGACCCTTTTGGAAAACATCATAAATATTTTAGTGGCGTTTATAAACGCCGCTAAACCTTAAGAAAAACACCACTAAAGATCTAAACCCCTATAGTGATTACATTATAGTGATTACATGAGACTCTTCACCACTACCAAGTATGATGCGGTCAGTGGTGCACGTGAGCTCATTCTGAAAATGACAAACTATAACAACAAGCTTGGGGAAATGAAGGTTGAGGTGGGGAACGAATTCTTGGTATGACAAATTCCGGAATCACTTCTTTCTTAGTTTGACAACTGGAAATCCAGCTACAATACGCAGAAGGAAGTATGGGATCTGAACACTATGAGTGCGATTGTCATCCTAGAGGAAGAGATACTGAAAGCTAGTAAGTCATCTCATTCTGCTCTGATGAGGACTCAGGGTAGCACTAATAGCAAAAAAAAACTTCATCAAAGGTGGTCCAAGTAAGAAATTTCAGCAGTTATTCAAGAAGAAGAAGCACTCCAAGTCTTCCTCGAAGTCTTGCTCAACCACTACTTCTGGATCTTAGAATTTAGAGGGCTTCAAAAGTATGTGCCTATTTAGTCACAAATATGAGCTCAAGAGCGCATATTGCAAAAAATTCGCCTAGTGAAAGGAGAAGAGAGACATTGATATGCAGTCGAAAACCAAATGAAAGGGAGATCCTTGTGAACATGGGCGATAGGATTTCTTAGCTGTGATTATGTAGCCATCAATCTTCCCGCTATTCCCTTGATTGATTGCTCTTAGAAGCTCCCATTCCTCTTTGTATCTCACAAAGGCAAAAGTAAATCGACTGTTATTGTCATGTTTCAATGAGATGAATAATCTCTAAAGTTTTATCATTAAAACTAACGGAACACGGGATTATTGACAACTTCACTTTTGAACTGCACATAATGCCGTCAGGTCATTTTCTTTTTCCGGTTTATTTGAAAAGGGTTTAACGAGTAGTTTAATTTAATCAAATAAAAAAATTATTTAGATATGCAATCGAATAGGTGCAAATAAATTACTTTTTGAATTAAAGAAAAGGATTCAAATCTTGTGTTTTGAACAACTAATCATGCACCAACCAATTAAATTAAAATACTTGGATGCGACTCTAGGGGCAGATATTAATATTCAGTTTATAATAAAGGAAATTTGAACTGCAAAAGGGAAACTATTACTAACTAGCCTAAAGTATAAACGTACAAATCAGGGCCACATTCCTTAGGCGGTCCGGTTTTAAGAAATGAGTGTGCGTTAAGTTTGGAACTCCTTCCATATAATATTACTGATTACAGAACAAAATGAAAAAATATGTGTTGTAGTTGTACAACTCATTTCTTAAAAATTATTGACATAAAAGGAAATCCAAAAATCTACCCTATTAACCACTATATTCTGCCTTCCAATTTTAACAACATTTCCTTTAATAAAAATCCCTCACATTCCTTCTTTATATTCTGTGTTCTGTCACGGTGCAAAAATATTCTGAGTTTCACCAATTCATCTCTCTTTGAACATGGGTGCTTTCGCCATTGCTGCAACAACATTTGTGGTGCTTTCTCTTTTACAGCAGCTACATGCAGGACATGAAGAGAAGGTGGAGAGAGATGAAACTGTAAAGGGAAGCGACTACTGTGATCTTTTTCATGGCAGTTGGGTGTATGACGAATCATACCCTCTCTATGAATCGTCAAACTGTCCATTCATTGAGAAGCAGTTTGATTGCCAGATGAATGGTCGACCTGATAAAGAGTATCTTAAATACAGATGGCAGCCCACTGCCTGCAACTTGCCAAGGTCAGCCCTCATTTCCAGTCTACTCTCTTCATATTCTATGTTTTCTTCTTTGATTTATTTGATTATAATTAAGGTCATCATGGTTGAATTTTGATCCAACATATATGTACTTACAGTCTGTGTCTTGTGTATGTTTGACAATAAACCAAGAATTATTCATTGTTGTTAATAGTTGCTTCATTTGAAATCTTGAGTTCTAACAGTTTCGACTGTCTCCTTAAGAAGTTGTTCCTTCTGTATCTTTATGTATACTATTTTTTGTTTAAAATAATAAAAAAAGTTTAAGTTTTATCACTTTACATAAATAAATTTTTATATTTTAATTGTATTTAAATAAGATTTAATATTGAATTTGCATCTAAATAAATTTTAACCTTTAATTTGTATTCAAGTAAACTTTTTAATTTTTAGTCTGTACCTTTTTTAAAATTTAATTTGTACTTAATGAAGTCCTTAACATAAATCTTAAATCCTAAATCCTTAATTTTTAATTTGTACATAATTAAATTAACACTTAACATAAATTAATTTTTTATTATATATAAGATTTATTTGAATACAAATCCAAAAATAATTTACTTAAATACAATAAAATTATACAATTTATTTAAAAAAATTAAATAATTCAAAAACTTTTTTTAATATTTTAACCATTTTTTTCTTATAGTTAGTATGCAAGGGATTATGATTAAGAAGGCTAGACCTTTCTTGTTAACCAAATATTATTCCCCGTACAATTTTCTTTATCTATTTATTTTAATGGCACAAAATGATGTTTTTTTTTTTTCTATTATTAAACTTAATACTCTTACCTTTTTATTAAAAAAATTTTTCTTATAATATTTTTATTTTTCTTATAACTTTTTAAATCAAGCTATATGCTTGTAATTTGTTATTTTGGAAGAAGGATACCACCAAACAAATAACAACAACAAAAACAACAAAATTAAATACGAGAGCTAGCATGCGCCAGAAAGCAATTTGTATTATTAGGAAAAGATTCACATTTTTTTTGAGGTGGCATTTATTATGGCAATACTGGAAAGAGAAATAACAAAACATAACCTACTTATTATATGCATCCACTTTGGTTTAAGCACATTTAATTTTCATAATTAAAACTGATGCTTTGTGAATGTGAGAGAGTGTGTCCACATTAATTCATAGTTTGCTGCAAAAGTAACTGTTGATTTAATATCATGGAACAAATCGGTCAATAAAAATAAAAAATAATATCACAAATAATTTTTAAATTATAATGAAATATTAATATGATATTTAAATTTTAAAAATTTTAATGTATTTCTTATATTATATATATTAATTAATTTAATATTTAAAAGATTATTTGTTAGTTACATATAATCATTATAATTAACGATATTAAAAGTAAATATCACATTAGATAATATATCAAAGATTTTTAAATTTCAAATATCATATTAAATATTTTATTATAATTTAAAAATCATCTATAATATTAATTCATAAAAAATATTAAGGACTGTAATTTTAAATTTAATTAGTCCTCAAACAATTATATTGTAAATATCGACCTGCAGCCGTTGCTTTTTGGACACAATTCCTGATTGCTTTCTTACAGAACACAACAGATCAAGTTGAGAAAACTTTGCATAGCAGAATATTATAACTCTGTGAAATTGGTTAAGTTCCTGGTAATTTCTTTTTTGCTTCTATCAAATGATGGCCCATGAAATTAAGTGGTTTTCCAACATCAGGCTGGAGTTCACAAGAATTAAAGGCACATGCGTGTCAAGTTCACTACTGGCTTTTGTTAATAATTTCCATCGACTTTACTCAACCTATTTTTGGAATCTTCTTACGACTTCTCATCATGAAAACATAATGGCAAACCTTTGTGGGTCCTTGGCTCCAAGTAAAGCGAGAGTGATCAGCCATCTCTTGGAATTGGTAGGCAGGCTGATAGATAGCATTCTCAATGACACAAAGAATCAGGTCGTTGAAATATAAAACTGAATCGTTATCTTTCTACATATGGAATGAAAGATGAAAATGATATCACACCACCAATCCTTAATTAGGTTTGTTACTTTGTTTATAATGCAATGCATTTCTAAAATACTAAATTAGTTAAGGAAGCTTTCTTTATTATTATTTTTTTGGTGAGTGTTTGTTGAAGTAACTTACAAGTTTTATTCAGACGCATTACAAGCAAACAGTTCATATGGGGGGGATTAACGACTCTCACCACTTATCTATTCACATAAATATTATACAATGAATTAGGAGGAAACTTATTGAGAAAAAGAAAAAAAAATGCGTGCACGATATGACAATAGGCTTGGAGCAACCCACATTAATTTAATATTGTTTTGTTTTTGAGAAAGCAGTTAGTTTCTCACATCAATTGACTTTGAAGCAACATTGTTGTCAAGTTGTTTTCTCTTGTTTTGTCCTTCCATGCCTACCCTTGTTGATATGTGTGTGTGTACATATATATATATATATATATATATATTAAACTTCTAAATTATATATATATATATTTTATATATCTAAATTAAGGATGATAAGTAATTGTAGGAATTACTTTACCGTGTCATAAAATCTCAATTTTGCTCATTAAGTAATGCATGTATTTATACATACGAGTCTGGTAAATTAAAATTTGAATGGACCTTTATTGTTGATGTAGGTTCAATGGAGAAGATTTGTTGTCGAGAATGAGTGGGAAGAGCATCATGTTCGTTGGGGACTCTCTCAGTTTAAATCAGTGGCAATCACTCACATGCATGCTTCACACAGCTGTGCCACACGCCAAGTACACAATTAAGACTGTTGAAGGCCTCTCTACATTCAAATTTTCAGTAAGATTTATTATGACTACTTTTTTTGGGGGTAGGATCAACCATTTTTAAAAGCTAATAAATTATTTTTACATAAATGTGAATTGGCAGGAGTACAACACAAAAGTGATGTTCTCCCGTAATGCTTTCCTAGTGGATATTGTAAGCATGCCAATTGGGCGAGTTCTGGAGCTTGATTCAATTGAAGGTTCCAAATTATGGAAAGGAGCTGATGTCTTGATCTTCAACACATGGCATTGGTGGCTTCACACCGGAAGGAAACAACCGTATGTATGACTTTCATCTTCATCATTTCCATCCGTATTTATTTATTTTTGTGGTTTAATCTGCAGATGGGATTTCATCGAAGATGGAAATCATACACAGCCAGACATGGATCGCTTGGTTGCCTATGAGAAAGCGTTAAATACATGGGCTAAATGGGTTGACACCAATGTTGATATTCCTTCTAAAACCTCGGTTTTCTTTCAAGGAGTCTCCCCTGATCACATGAAGTAAGTCAAATATTTTACATTATATACGATCAATAACCAAATTATTTTTAAAAGAATCTGAAAACAAAGAAGCCTGAATTGATGTATTAATCAAACACGTAGTATACAATGACTAACTCGTTAATCAATAGAGTTTCTTTGAGGTCTTAGAAGTTCAAGGTGCTAGAATTGATGAATTCTCTTAAAACTTTATAAAAGTTTTAGAAATTATTTTTTGAATTTTTGAATAACCTTTCTGTCTCTGGCAAAAATAAAATAGCCGTCAGAACTTGAAACTAAACTTTAAAGAGTAAAATCACCAATCATTTATGATTTTTTGTGGGACATTTCATTTTTATTCAGAATCCTTAAAATTTAACTTTTAGATTTATTGACTTTTTAAAAAAATGTTCCAAATATACATCCATTTTTACCCAACTTCACTTATGATCTTTAATGAAATATGCCATTATCATACCATAGGACATAAATTCTAAACCGAAAATTAATTGGGCTTGCCTTTTTGTCATGTAGAAGTGACGTGGATGTGGGAAATTTTATCATATTTTTATGAGATGGATTAAAATAAATGAATTTGAAATGTTTTTAATAAGTTGCGAATTCAAAAATTAAATTTCAAAGATCAATAAAAATAAAATATTACATAAAGGTAACGAATGTGTGATATAATTTACTTACAATTTAGATGTCTCAATTTTATTCTTAGGATCAAATTGGAATTTGATGGAGTAGAAAAAGGTTACTCATTGTATAGTCTGGAATCATATGTTCAAAAGAAAAGAAGAAAAAGAAAAACGAATAAATGCTCTTTTGTTTGATGACATTAAAAAAGATCTTCCTATAAGAGAAAATGGTGCACTCATTGTTTTATTTGTATTTTATGTAATGAATCAGTTCAAACGATTGGGGAGAACCGAATGCAAAGAATTGTGCAGGGCAGACAAAGCCGATAAGTGGAGGAAATTACCCAGGAGGTAAACACCCGGCAGAGCTAGTGGTTGAGAAAGTGCTAAGGTCCATGTCAAAGCCGGTTTATCTACTCAATGTGACCACTCTATCACAGCTAAGAAAAGATGGACATCCATCAGTGTTTGGCCATGGTGGCCACAGAGACATGGACTGCAGCCATTGGTGCCTGCCTGGTGTTCCTGATACTTGGAATGAACTCCTATACGCAGCTCTCATTCAAAGCTGAAGATTTGAAATCCAATTTTTTATTCATAAAAGTGGTTTGTAATTGACAATAATATTAAGAAGATAAATTGCAATTCTAATGATTGAATTTTGAATAAAAATTTTGATTTTTTTTTTTAAATTATAATTTAAGGATAAAAAAAAATTACAAATATTAAAAGTTAGGATTTAATTCTAAATTTATTTGATATTATTACTTGTTAAGAGTGATTATATTAAATCTCAAATTTAGAATAAAAATTGTGGTGAAAGCAAAGTTGATAGATTTTCCAATTTCATAACCACTATAAGAAATCTGATATACAATGACGCTTAAAAAAGCATCGGTAAAATCTCAAAATCTATCAGTATAGCATTATTAACTCTATACTAATGGTCAAAATATATATTCCAATGAATTTTTAGCTGTCAATATATCACTTATTGGTATAGACCTATAATGATGGTTTTTAAAGTGTCAAAATAGCTTATAGAGATATACCTATGGTTCAAGACCGTCAGTAAATATATATATGTTGATATAGCATTTGTTGTGTGTTTCACAATTATACATTTTACTGACGGCTAACACCCGTTAATATAGACTTGTATGTTTTAATTTTTCCTACCTATAGTGACGATTAATGCTCATCAGTATAGACTTGTAATTTTTTTATCTATACTGACGTTTAAAGCCCATTAGTATAGATTTGTATGTTTTAATTTTCTTACCTATACAATAGCTAGCACTCGTCAGTATAGACTTATATATTTTAATTTTTCTTACCTATACCGATAGTTAACACCTATCAGTATAAACTTATAATTTTTCTTACCTATATCGACGCATAGCATCCGTCAGTATAGACTTGTATTTTTTAATTTTCTTACCTATAACAATGGTTAGAAACTATCATCATAGAATTGTATGCTTTAATTTTCTTACCTACATCGACGATTAAAGATTATCAATATAGACTTATATGTTTTAATTTTTTTATTATATTTTATTGACAATTGGTGATTGTTAGTATTGCCTGAAATATTCCAATGATCAAGTATGTCAGTACAAATGTTAAGATGTTGGTAAATTTTTTAAAAAATTATATTTTCAATTATTAATATTCATTTATTTATAATCATAATATGATATGTTTTCATATAAAGAAAAAAAAAACACAATAAAGTAAAAGATACTTAATAACATTAAAACTACAAGTAAATTATTTATAATCTACAAACTTAGTATAAGTGAAAAATTAAAGTCATTGTACCAAGTCTGAAAAACAAACATCAATAAAATAAACATAGATAAAGAGTTATACCACGTCACCCTAAAAAATACAATCATAAGTTTGCACCACCAGACACCTAAAGACTTTTTGATCATCTTAAAACTTCAATAGAACTCTAAACAAGATAATCTTAAAAAAATTTGTAAATGAACAAACAATTGCAAAACCACCTCAATAAGAAAAAACATACATGTACCTATCACAAGCCCTTTCCAAAATCAAAATATTTTAATTTATACAAAATACCACAAGTCTTGAAAAAGTCAACAAGTGTAGCTATATCATATAACTAACAAGCTCAATAAACCCAACTCACTAATAGTATTCAATATACCAATCAAACATCACAAAACACAACAGCCTTATTTCAACAAAGTGCATAACATCTAAAACAAAACCAAATTCCCCTACAAACATAATGCTCCGAGTAAATAAACAACTTCCTAAAATAAATGATCCTATCATAGATTTCTACAAAGAAACATCTGCATAACATAAAAAAAATCCAATTAGAATTCTTGTAAATTATCTTATATATACATTAGGTAAAAAGGTAATCATCCATTCATATACTAGTAGAAATAATTTTATGAATATCTTATTCATTCATATATACGAAAGGTAATCATCCATTTATATACCAGCTAAATAATTTTATAAACATTCTATTCATTAGTAATTTTTTGAAATATTTCTTCATCAACAAGCTTATCATAATCAAATTTATGAAATTCAAACTTCGACTACAATTTGAAAGAGGAAATTGGAATGAAAATGTCAATATCTATTATATGAATTGCTACTATTAACTAGAAACTAAAAGATTATTGTCATGGCATTAGCTAGCAACTAAAACATTATAGTATTGATACTTATAATATTTTTCACATTTATTCCTTCTTATCATTCAACATTTCATGCCAATTTGTATAATTAATTGGTGCAAAGCTAGGCATTTTGACCATGCTACCAATGAATCGAGTTAAAGAGCAAGATTCATCACTGATAGATATAGCATTATCATTGGCCTTAACAATAACATACTTCTCTTCTTCCAAATCCTAAATATCAGCCATACGTATAGGACCTCAAGCTTTTTTATGTTGAACATTTCCTACATAGAAAAATTACATGTAAAGAAAGTAATTAAATTCATTAAAAATTGTAATTGTACAACATTATAACACATAAAGAATTGTACTAATAGAATGTAGTGTTTTTATTCTTGAATTATGTTCAACTTGTTCATCTTGATCTTCATTATTTGTAAATTGATAAATTAATTTTTGAGATTCTTATAGAAGCTTATGTTGTGAAGCTTCTGGATCTATAGACACATGTTGTTCTTCAGATTGTGCTTGTAATTGAGAGCTAGAGGCACGATTTGCCTTTGTGATATTCAATCATCTACGCTTTACCATCTCAAGTCTAATAATACATAAAATATACTAAGTATAATATAACATAGAACTTGATAGTGGCAAACCATATAAAGCACCAAGTACAATTTAATATATTACATGATCACACAAAATTAAATATTGCAAGCTAGTAACACAAAAACAAAATAATAGTGAACCATGTCTTACATTGAAAACCTTAACAACAATTAAACTATTAAATAGAATTAAAAAATGTCTTCCCTATTATGTTCATCTATGAGATCTTCTTCTATCTTTGGTGTGACCTCCATTCTTTCATCATCAACTTCACTTCTAACCCAACTTGAAGTACTATATATATCATCAAATTCAACATGGATTTCTCCAATTTCTTGCTCTTTATATAAGGATGATTCATCACCCATATCAAATACATGTATAAGTTTTGTATGCTTGACAAGAACTCAACCATTATGTCTTTCATCATTCACATAAGAAACTTTCTTAGCTTGTGATGCCAAGATAAAAGGATCATAAACCAAATTAGTTTCACTATAAGCTACATATGAAAAATTCACAAGAGTGAAACCAAATTTATCTTTCTTGCAACCTCTACTTATATCAATCCAATCACATTTAAATAACACAACTTTCAATCTACCAGTTGAATTTCAAATAAATGATGTTTTTTAAAACCCTATAATAGTTAACTTCCCCCTCAATAGGTTGTACATCTCTTGTACTTACATAACTCATCATCTTGGTTGTTACAACAACCTTATTATTTTGAGTTTTCAAGTATCTCTCACGTGCCATGGTATGAAATCTCAAACTATTAACGATATAACTAGTATATTTCCTAACAGTATCAATTGGACCACAAGCAAGCCATCTAAGTTGATTTGTGATGTTTGCATTTCCTTGTTGATCCAAATTAGCAACTTATCCAATTTCATATTGGTTAAAATAATAATCTAACTATAAAAACTTTAATTACATATTCCAAACCATGATGTGCGACTTACATAATCATGAAACCAATCATAAAAAGTTTCACGTTGTAACTTTTGTAACTCATATGGCATAAGCCGAGGAGATCAATTACGTCTCTTAATAAATTGCTCAGGTTTTTTATATGAAAAAAACTCTTAGAAGACTATACAATATACTACAAAAGAAAATTATCAAGTATAATATGCATATAGATAAGTGTTCTTACTTTATAAAAGGAGCAACCTTATTAGAATTAAATAGCACATATCCATCTGTTGAAACCAAAGTTATAGCATTAAGTACAATTCATGAGACCTTTTTATGCTTGTTAACATTAAAATCTTTACATTTTAATGTTCCTAACAGTCTTTTTATAGTAGAAAGAATGGATTTTTTTCTCTACAAAAGGATTCTTGTTTTCATTTCGAATGGGTCAATTAAAAATATTTTCCATCCCATCAAAGTATTTAAACAAAAAATTATGCATTCATTTGCTAAGTACCCTTCTGCAATTGAACTTTCAAGACAAGCTTTATTGCGTACATATGATTTAAGAGTAAGAAGAAACCTATATAAATGAAAGTTCAATAGAAAAGATCATAAGCAAACATCCTAGTTGAAATTTAAGTAAAAAAATCTATAACACTTTAAGATATACCTCTTAATAGGATACATCCACTGATAAATGACTGGATCAACAATTTTTGCTTCATTTGCCAAATGAATAACTAAATGTACCATTATTGTGAAAAAAAGATAAAGGAAAAATCTTTTCCATTTCATATAAAATTGATGCAAGCCGAGACTCAAGTAATTCAATCTTATATTCTTCAAGAACTTTAAAACAAAGTTCTTTAAAAAAGGTAGACAAATCAATAAGAACTAAGCACATCTTATCAGGTAAAGACCATCATATTGCAATAGGAAAAAACTCTTGTATTAAGAGATAACAATCATAACTTTTGAGCCCTATTAGCTTCAATTGTTTAAGTTACACACAACGTGAGATATTTAAAGAGTATTCATCTGAAGTTTCCATTTCCTTGAGAATCTTAAAAAAAAATTTTCAACTAAGCTAATTTGATATGAATCTTCAGATAAGTATTGGGTGTTAGTGCCAGGACGAGTCTTTGGATGAAGAACACTCTTTATACCCATTTCTACAAGGTCAAGTCAAGCTTTGTAGTTATCCTTTGACTTTTCTTCTTGCCCAATCAATGTACTAAGAATGTTATCACAAATATTCTTTTTTATGTGCATCACATCAAGATTGTGATGCAATAGAAGATGTTCTTAATAAAGTAATGTGAATAAAATACTCTTTTTCTTCCATGGCCCATCTTTATTATGATTTCATTATTTCAATTGTCTCAACACTTTACTTTCGAATGGCGGTGAAAAAGCATTT